CATACCATACCATACGACATCATACCATATCATACCATACCATACGACATCATACCATATCATACCATACCATATGACATCATACCATACCATACCCACTTTATTGCACTTAAAACAGCAACAAGGCCAACCAAAGTGCTATACGGCAGAAACAACCAAGTTAATCACACAGTAAAAAATAGGCAAAGTAAATAATTTACTTTCGTTACAGTCAGACTTTATTTGTAGGAAACCTTTGTACAACTGAGAGTGTCACAATGTACACTGAATGAGAATAATCATAACTACAGTATATTTAATGTTTTATTTGTGTTTGTTTTTTATATTTTGACCGGTTTGTTGCTGTTTTCTAGAGATCTGTCACCATCTTGTGGTTGTTGCCCACACGGTGTCTAACAGCAACTCCTTGCAGCAACTTGTGCGGTCAAAGCACGCTTCCATTTTTTGTTGGGGGCGTGGTCTTTTGCGTTATTACGGTAACCGTGTTTGAGCCATACTTTCGAAATAAAAGCATATTTGTTTTGGTCGTTAATTAAATTTTAAACAGTACGGTAATCATGAGGGAATCGATCTTTTCAGCGTAATTTCTTTAATATAGACAATTAACAACGAAATGCTACATTCAACTAAACTAAACCTAAAACAGTTTTACTTCAGCTAAACAATAAAAGCTTCTCTCCTGTAAGTCAACAACTTTTGGTACTGGCCTACTTACTCCGAGACATTTACTGGTGGTATGAACACACAATTTAAAAATGCAGTATTATATTTGATTAAAATCACAATTTAAAATACAGTATTATATTCGGTTAAAATTTTCAAGCACATTCATCATTCAGTAGTACAATGTCTATTGCATACTACAACTTGTACCAATAATAATAATATTATTGTAGCTGCTCAAAGCATTGATTATTTTTAATTGCTGCCTAAAACCTAATTTCTTACTGACTTCTAGTCTTGGTTGAGCAGGACATCTACACTTCTGCAGATCTTATTCATTTTGTTTAGGTTTGCTTATTTATTCAATTCTTGTTTGTTTTGTTGGTATTTTAATGTATTTGAGTTCATCTTTATTGCTTCCAAAACAATTTTTGATTTTTACATTATACCTTACGACAAAGGTTATTGTATAAATAAGGCATGTCATTTTATTTGCATTACGTAAGATGTGAAACCTACAGAAAACGGTGTGCTTTTACTTTGAAAAGTTACGTTACCGTAATACTCAGTGTACGTACGCACGCGGAACAACGTCAAGGCAGATAAGTAGCTCGAAATCGTGTTTACAGCTGTAATTAAGTGGTAAAATAATTCCACTGTTCCTCTATCAACCATTCTCGGCAGCTAATGATGATTAAAATCACAAAAAAAACTAAAAACTGATTTATTGTTATTGAAAACCCGTTCCCGCCCTTTTGGTCAGCTCTTCGCAGCGCGACCTTTCAGGAAGCTCTGATAAATCTCTGGAGACGGAAATAGGAGGAGAAACCAAAAAAATGTTGAAGGGAGGAGGAGGAGGAGGAGGAGTCCAGCGACCATAAACAGGTTGGAAGAAGGACGGAGAGGCGCCGCCTTGGGCTTCGAAAACCAGCTTTCTTTGCACCTTGTGCCACGGCTGCCAGAGGTAGGTTTTTATTTCCACCATTTTAGACTTTGAGTCAGTTTTATAAACAACCGTCTGGAGGTTTCAGTGTTGATGAGAGACCGAGTGTGGCTGCTGATCGGAAATGCTTCAGTCTGAAGAAAATGTGAAGTTTAGCTCTTTATTTGTAGTTATCGGAACAACTGAAGACTAGTGTCTGCTATAACATGAAAAACACCTTTAATGTGGAGCTTCCACCTCCAATGAGCTGAGGAAGAGCAAGTAGCTGATGGGACCACAGCTGCTTTCTGCTGCTTATCTTTCCAAAGGCTGATGGGACCACAG